AGTGAGAGCCGGGCCGGGCCGGGCCCCGGATGCTGGCACGTGGGCTCCTCGGCCCCGACGTTTGGCAGCGGGCGGCGCTGCCTCTTAGCCGTGGGGCGGGGTGGGGAGCGGAGCGGCGCGGAGCCCGGGGGCACCTCCCCGGCGGGTGCGGTGCGGTGCGGTGCGCTGGGGCTGCGCCCGTGCTCCCGCTGGGGACAAGCGGGTTTCCCGCTCCCCTCAGGGTCGGACGTTGCTGTCTTTGGGGTCAGGAGGGAATTTGACCCCATCAGATGGGTTTTTTGGGGGAGGGGTTGCCTTCCTCTGTAGCAGGCGCGTGGCCCTGACCCGGCCCCTCTGGGCGCACGAGCACCCTCCCCAGAAGCAGCGGGCGGCTGTTGGGTCAGGTTGGGTCTCCCCCTCACCCTAGGGCAGGGTCTGTCTGTGTTGGGTCAGGTTGATGCCCTGTAGCGGATGTTTTGGACAGGGGTGATCCTGCCTCAGGATCTGGATGAGCTCTGGAGGCCCCTTCCAGCCCGACAGCTGCACGACGGTGTGATTTTTACAGTACTGCCTCCCTCGCGCCCTTTGGCATCGCGTTCACGCTCTTGGCAGCAGACGGGCGCTGCTGGGCGCTGGGCTCGGTCTCTATTTGACTAAAACGAACTGTTTACAGCTGCAGAAGATGCAGAAGGAAAAGGCCAACCTGCAGAACCAGCTGACCGACTTGGAGGAGCGCCGGGAAGCAATGACCTCGCATTTGAAAAACGTCAGGCAGGAGTTCAACTTCACCCAGGTAAATGGGCGCTGCTGCTGGATCCGTCCTGCCGGGTGGAAATTCTCCCTCGTTTCATTCGTCTGTTTTGTCCAAATCAGCGTCACCATTTGCGAAAGCTCTCGTAACCCAATCGTCCAGGACTTGGCCAGGAGATTAGGACGGCCACATCTGCGATGTCTTGTTTAATGGCCTTTAAAAAAGATAACGGAATACGTCGGCACGTACAGTAGGAAGCTTGAAGGAGCAGACTTAGCTGTCTGCGAGGACTCGCAGGGCCAATGGCTAGATGTGTGTGGTCCAAGAAACATAGAAGTTTACTTCAATACAACACGTTTGTGCTGATCAAAACCAGCTAACTGTAAAATGCTAAAGAAGCCTTAGATCTGGGGTTTGAAAGTGGGGAAAAAAAGTTAAGTTTCTGTTTATACTCTAAGACATCTGGGTAAGACAGGCCCAAATCTTCAGGTCAGCGTAGAGATGCTTTGCAGAATATGCGTAGCTGTGATCTCCACAGTTATACTGCATTAGGGAATGAGGTTGTTTCGTGACAAGCCACGATATAAACCAAACATAATTTGTATAGGTTACTGTTGCACTCGGAAGACACAGATGTGAATTGATATAAGATAACCAATAATTAAATAAAAAAGTTCTTTTCCGCAGAGTTCATATAAATAAATGCTGTAACTTTCCAACAGGACCAGAAGTCAGGACACCTGGGAGCTCCTTCTGAAGTGACTTAAAAAAAACTTATGTCAAGAATAATTGCACTGATCTCAGTGGCATTACTGGTTGTACATTATTACTGGTCAGTTCAAAATTAGACTTGTGGACTCTTGTTTCCTAGCCTGCCACCTAGTATTTCTGTGTTCTTGGGCAAAACATTAACCCTTCCATTCAATTATTTTTCCCATCTGAAACATTTAATACTATTTAAACACCATATGACTGCTTACAGATGTAACCCCCGCCCCCACCCCCAAAAAACCAAACAAAACCAAGCCGGCACAAGTTCAGCGCATATCCAGAAGAGGCATTGCATTAGTTGAACCCAGCTCGCCCAACATCTATATAGATTGGGTCCTTTGGTGGGGCTCTATTAGCCCTTTTATCTAATAGGTGATTTAATTTAATTAAATAAGTGCCAAAAAGCCCCACTGAAGTGTCCAATCTATACAGACACTGTGGAACCGGGTCCAACCGACACACTGCTTCTTCCGGTACAGCATATTTTGGGTGGATTTTTTTTACATGTCTGGCAGCAGCCTATGTGAAAACACTTGAAAAGACTTTATTGAAAGTCACTAAGCACAGAATTTCTATTCTAATATTATAAAAGCCTTTGTCTGTCTGCCTGTCCGTAATGCTTTATTCACATGCTGATTGGTTCTCTGAAACAACCAATTAGAGTGCTCCAGCAGCGTTCTGGACAGGCGGCAGTGGCGATGTGCCGCTATGATGGTGGGGATGGAGCGGGGGAACAAGGCCAGTGCTGCTGGCCTTGCCCCTCCCCTTGGCTCTGCTCCCTGGAGGCGGCGGCAACAGAGCAGGGAGGCAAGTCCCCAGACCAGAAGAGGGGTGTGGGGAGCAGGCTCAGCCCCGGCCCTGAAGTGGCAGGGAGTGATGGGGGGGTGTCAGAATTGGGCCCAGTGCCAGCCCTGAAGCGGCAGGCCGGGTAGGGGGGAGAAGTGGGCCCAACCCCAAAGCGGCAGGGGGTGGGGCGGGACATGGGCCTGTGTCCCTGCCACCCCCCACCCCCCGCCATTGTTATGGGCAATTTGCTAGTTCTTACATAATAAAGGGCTTCGTCTGTCTGTCCATAACGCTCTTGGAGCACTCTGACTGGTTACTGAAACAACCAATCGGAGTGGAGCGCTGCCACGACAGCAGGTTCAGAGGTGGGAGTAAGGCCAGCGGTGCTAGAGGTGGCGTGGGGTGCTGGCAGAGGGGAATGGAGGGGATGGCAGGGCAAACTTCCCCCCCGCACCCCGCTCCTGGGAGGTGGCAGCAGCAGCGCGGGGTGGTAGCGCTCTGTCCCTGCCTACCCCCCCCCACATCATTCTTGATGGGCAATTGGCTGGTAGTAGTATATTTTACCAGTACCTCACTCTCTGATGACATTTTAGCAGCTTCATAATGTTATTCCAACTACATGAATCTTTAGAACTCCATCTGATAAGAACACAGCTTGGCCCCCTGGGGTCGCCACAATGATTTCCCTTCTCTGTTATGGATGAGAGCCTCATTCGAAAGGCAAAAACTGATTTTCATCCCTACTTCTGGAGAACCTTCAGAGCAGTACTGAGTACCATTTGGTATATGGCTAAGAATCTATGCCTAGTTTCTCCAAAATCACTAGGCAATTTGGAGGGGACTCCATTTTGAGTTGGAACACCTCAAGGAGGTCCAGTTTTCATAGCTCAGAACTTTCTGAAGACTACCCCCACTTTAAGCGACACAAAGTTGTGCCCCACAAATTGCTAGTTTGAAAATTCAGACCTGTAACTTCAAATGAATTCCTGAGATAAACTCAAATAATGAATCTGTGATGCATCCCAGGTGATGGGCTCTGAGAGGTTCATAGAAGGCTTTTCTGCAGCTGAACAACCTCTCATTTTTAATGTGTTAGATGGCAAATTTTAATTAGCCATCAAAATGGAGAACACCATGTGCTCTCTTCTCCCTTAAGAGCAAGGCTCCTAGTAGGTAAGAGATTAGGTATTGTACAGGGAAAAATATATTAAAGCAATTTTGCCAGACAAAGAGAGGCACCCAGCTGGCATGTGGCAGCATCAGTGTCTAATCCATCTCTCATCTCAAAACAATAACATACTCTCTGTTGCTGCACTTCCTGAATCAGAGAGAGCTGGGTGATGAAGATACTTAGTTTGAATATAATTATTTTTAGGCTTGTTTAGTTCTGAACTGCAGAATAGTGGAATAATGGATTCTGTGTATTGGGTGAAGTATTCTTAATCACTTGAGGTAGAGAGACTTGATCTATATATACAGAGAATAATGCAGCACACTAGATTTTTATATTAATTTCATATCTTATGGTCCAAATGCTAGTCAAGTCAGTGGCTAGCCAGTTTGAGTTTATACCAGTGGAATTAGAGTTTTTAAAACCTCGGTACCGTATTTTGTTTGTTTTATAACACTCCTGTGTGCAAATTCCATAATTTGTATTTGCTTTGAGTTCTTATTTTGGTTTAAATAGTAAAAATGCTAAAAGTCTGTTATCTACCCCATGCAAAATTTTAAACAGTATTATTCTTTAGTCACTTTACAGAGCCAGGGAGAATGAAATTGAAACTGAAAAGCACTTTAAAGCCCTTGCTGAGAGAGAACTTGGACGTCTCAAAAGTGAGATTCAACGGCTGGAAAATGAGATGATTTCCTTAAGAGAAAAGAAAAATAATCAAGAAGTAAGATTTTAAGAGTTTTATAATACAGACATTGCCGATTTATCTCTCAGTAGTTTTCTTGCTTTCATTTGTTGTTTCTTTAGACAAATGGAGTTACCAGACACTAATTTTAAGAACAGTTCACCTTAATGGAGCCATGACATTTATGATATTCCACAAATATTTAGGACTCAGTCCTTCAGGCCTTGCTCAGGAACATGCTAGGAGTGTTTGTCTCATTAAACCTGGTCCATTACTGGGCTTAAAACTTAAGATGTAATTGTAGGGTTTTTACATTCATTTGGGAATAATTCTTCTAGCCTGTTTTTGGTTGCAGGGACCTTAGCTGTGAGTGTGAAGTAAAGCCTTCTTGTAGTACAGCTCAGAGGCAGCTACTACTATCAAGTAACCAGGGTACCGTGGCATTTTACAGACAAATAAAATAACAAGTCCTTGCCCTAATGAGTGTGCTCCAGAGGTTGGACAGAAGAGAGAGAGAAAATTAAAGAATAAATCCACTGAGATGCCTGCTTCCCATCTCCAAGAAGTCTGTGGGAGTGAGGCCACTGAGCACCTAAAAAACCCCCCTGCCAAACAAAGGCAGAGAACTGGGGTTCAGACAGAGATAAATAACGACAGTGAGACAGATATGCTAAATGCTATAAATGCATACTTAGATACACCACTACATTGTTAGTTTGTCTAGGTATTTCTCTTATATTTTAAATGCCCCTATCCTTGTACTTCAAAGGATAAGCATGGTTTCAAATACATTTTTGTTTTGTCTTCTGTACACAAATAGTAATTGTGGCAGTTAAGAAATGCACTATAAAAGAAATAAATGTATCGTTCTCTTTTCTTCATACTATTATGTTTTTTACTTTAAGCTGGCTTTCTTCTTTCTCCTTTCTTTTGTTAAATTTCTGTCTCTCTCAACAGCCAAAACAACTGAGATCCTCTTCCTCCTCCTGGCTGTACACTTGAGGCTGTATTCTGCTACACACTCACATTATGGCGTCATTTGGGATCGCTTGTAGAGCATTATTCATTGTACAGAAGGGTATCAGACTCTACCCCTTGGATTGTGAGGGGTGAATTGCATTGGATGAATTTCTTACCCAGTGTGCATTAACTTCATATATTAGGCATCATATTGCAAAGCTTTACTTACCTTAGTTTAAGATAATTTATTGCTGTGCTTTCTTTTTAACACCCAGACATAAAGTGGCATTGTTCAAGCTGAAGATATTTGCCATAGGAAAGAAACTGATCTGCCCAACAGTACTGTCAGAGACCTTTAAATTCCTAGATTCCAACAGTGTGAATTGTCTGCTTTAATTTCTGTGCTCAGCATATTATTAATTACAGAACTTTTATTTCAAATGTTATTAGAATAACATATTCAAAACCACTCAAAAGTTGGAAGTCTTAAGATGCCAGATGAACTGGGATCATCAAGCTTTAGAGGCTTGGTTAGAGGAATCAGCTCGTAAAGACAATGATGCAGTCACCATCCAGAAGTATGCCCAACAAGATGATGGGAAATTAAGGGTATGTAGATCTAACAAAACATTTTATTAAAGCTATAATTATTTTTTAACGAAAGAAGAAGCCATTTATAGCATCTTGTCGTGGCATCATAAATTAATGTAACTATATGTGAAACTCATGTTAAAGGTTCAATACGTAAGTTTTTTGTAAGGGGTTAACCTGCATATTTTGAAACTAACTAGAGTGTATTTGTTTTGATGGATTAATGTTAAATTTTTATTTTTTTCACGTATAGCAAAAAAGTAGACTAATATTTAATTATGGCTAATTATCATAAGAAAACTGCAGTCAGTTTCAAGCAGAACCTCTAACTGAATTTAACAGGGAGCTAACCCTCAAAATCCATGCCATGACATGACCCTCTTGAAAAAAAAGTATAATTACTTTAGATGTTCCAAATTGAATAATTGCTTAATATCTTGAAGGATGAAATAAGCAACTATTATAAAACTGACAGGATTGATGAAACCCTGTCATTAAATATAAACTAGACTCATTAAGCAATAGGTGCAAAATTCATAAAGGTTGCCTGAAGTAGAACGTTCGCTTAGAAAAAAATCTTTTGTTGATTAAACTTAAACATTCTTTTCACAATGTTCAAATAAAAAATTAATTTATCACCATCTGTTCTGAATGAAACACTTAACCCAGACACCTTAGCTTGCAGAAGTAGTCACAATGATCTTTGATATCACATTGATAGCACACAAAATAATGAGTATATAGGATCCTTGCAAAAGCAAATGCTTGCAAGAGCGAGCCCTTTGCTTTTTATGGATCTTGAACAATACAGACCAGAGGCTCAGGGACTTCCTATTTAACCGAGGCAAAGCTTTGTATTTGTTTATAATTCAATATCTTAGTGTTTACATCATTTCATTTCAGGTGCTGACTCTACAGATAGAAAAGTTGACCATGGAAACTAATCAGAAACGCAAAAATCTTGATAACGAGCTTACAGAAACCTTAACTGCTCAGGTGTGTACATAAATCAAGTGGAAACTTAGTCCACCCTATGTGGGGCATTTACATCAATGTTAATTAGGCTCCATTTTTTAACAGATTGAGCTAGACAAGATAGCTGAAGATTTTCGCAGAGTTCACCACGAGAGGCAAGAACTTATCAGACAGTGGGAAAGTACGATAGAGCAGATGCAGAAAAGAGATCAAGAGATAGATCACTTTGCTTTGGTATGGCTATTGATCAGAATTTGATTTGCATAAAAATTGGGCCTGACCTTGCAACAATGCAACCAATAGGAGTTTTACTGTTGACTGAAATCAGAAAAGAATTGGATAATTAATTTTAAGACTTCCAGTTTTGCTCATTATTCCTCTTTATTTTTAATAAGTTCTTTCAAACTTGACAAGTATTGCAGAAGATCCCCTAGGTAAATGTTCTTAGATTTAAGGGATGTCTGTCTAGTTCAGGGGCAGGCAAAATACAGCCTGCGCGCCAGATCTGACTCTGTAACTGATTGGCTCTGGCCTGTGGGCAGGTGTCTGCCAATTGATTGCATCCAGCCTGTGGTGCTCCACATGGGACCAAGCCCTGCACATTCCCACCTGGGGCAGCCCATGCCATGTTCCTGCCTGCCAGTGCACACAGCAAGGCTGCTCTCAGTGTGGCCACAGCCCCCTAGTACTGCTTAGCTCCTCCTCCCCCCAACCCCTGGTGGCTCCTCCTCCTCCTGCCCCTGCTGTGCCACTCTGGGCAGGAGGCAGCACGGGGGAGCTGTAGGAATACATGCCAGGCACCACATGCTCAGCCAGGCCGGGGGGAAGCTCCACCTGGGTGTTTCATGCACTAGCATGTGGGGCTCCAGCTCCTGGCTACCTTCCACCCACTCAGCCGCCTACAGGTGGGCGAGTAGAGTGGGTGGAAGGCAGCTGGGAGCTGGAGGCTAAACAATACTTGGGTGGCCGCAGCTGCACTAGGAGCAGCCCCACTGAGAAGCTCTGTGCACTGACCAGGGAGGGCAGGAACACAGGCCGGTCTGCCCCGGGGGGAGCAAGTGCAGCTGGGTGAAAAACTACACCTGCACCTTCACCACCTGGGCAAGCTCTGCTGCATGCGTCCCCTGCACACCCCCCTCCCCCCCCTTCCAGCCGCTCCCAGGACCTAGCACATGAGCAGCACCCCCCCCACCCCAATCCCCACACACACCTTCACACCCACAATATCCAAAAGTAAGACTTTATTTTGAGCAATTATGCAAATCACCTCCATATACACCACTCAAAACAAATCAGGACAAAAAATTAAAAAAAAAATAAAATTAAAATATGTTATAGTAGATGTTTAATTTTTAGTATACGAATTTTTTTTATCTGTAATTTGTTAAAAAGATATCTTCTGAAATATTTTATATGTACATCCCTCAAGAGCTCCCCAAAATGCGTTAAGTGGCCTTTCAGTCAAAATAATTGCCCACCCCAGTCGAGGTAAATAAGGTACCTATCAAGCTAAAGGATACTGATTAGCTCCACTATATGAATGACCTTCGGTTTCCTGATCCAGCAGGGGCTGGCATGCCTTACATCTTACAAGTAACCATCTCTCTGTCCCATCCCAGCAGCAACATTAGATGTAACTCATTTTCCTAGGAGCATAAGGATAGTAGGCTATGATGTAGGGGAACTGAAGCCCTAGAGCACGATTGGAAAGGGAAACTGAGCATGGTAAATTTTTTAATTTCTGATCGAGCGATGATTTGTGGTCTCACTTGCAGATGTCTGTCAGTGGGAACATATCTGAGTGCAGGAATTGTCCTTAAGCACATCCTGTAAACATAAATCAAGTGTAGTATTCTTGTAAACCCTTCTCAAAGTCTGGCTTTGAATATCTGTTTACACATTAGTAATAACTTCTAGTCTTTGTTCATCTCCGTCCTCAATGTCTTATATCAGGGATCAGCAACCTTTTAGGAGCAGTGAGCTGAAACAAAACAGCTCGGGCTGAGGTTGACTGCCACTTGTGACCCAACCTCCACTGTTGCACCCTCTGCCACGTATTTTTCCCCCCCACATTGCCACTAGAAACCACCATGCCCACAGCCCAGTTACTGCTGAATGACCACTGCTGTCCCAGCTCTGTGGGCTGGATAAAAGTCCTTTGGGCTGGATCTGGCCTACAGGCCATAGGTTGCCGAGACCCTGTCCTGCAGATTTATGCTTCTGTGATTGGAAATACAATTACAGGGAAAGGGAGATACAAATAATAGACAAAATAAAAAGTTCATCATGTAAAGAATTTGAAATGTGCATAGAAATATTTACGATCATGGGTACAGAAGTGAAACTCAGAAGTTTTCAAAATCTTGTCTGATGCTTTTTTGGAAAAAAATTGTAATAGTTACATCTGAAAGAAGCTACTGAACAAAATCTTAGCTCTGTTATGCTTACATTGGGAGGCATTCCAGTTCCCTCAGCTGGCCACAGTCTGTGGAGGAAAAACAGTCTGAGTCATACCAGAAATGCAACACTTAACATTATAAGAGAAAAAAGGCAAAGGAGGAATAATATGAAATGTGAATTAATTTTTGGCAGCTGGCTTAACTCAAACTGTGTGTGTGATGATGCGTGATCATTGAAGGCCAGGATCTGCCACCCCTCTGCACATACTTATAGCAAGCAGCTCCATTGCTTTTTTTTTTTTTCCGTAGGGGAAGGGGGGAGAAACAAAGCAATCCATTTTGATTCTGATCGTAGATCAGATCAGCTGCTTGAGATTGTTTTTATACACATCTCAAAGGACTACAAATTACTTGCTGTATACTTGGTTCCATCAATATCTGATCTCTTGCTGGGAATCATTCTTGAAAAATACCAAAACTATCCTTTTCTAAAACCTCCAGTGCAAATACCTTAATAGACCTTGGTTGTCATTTATTTTTGCTGTTATAGTAACTGTCTCCTTTTTGGTCTCTCGACCCCTCCTAGTCTGTATAAAATGGTGTTTATGTAGTCCTTTTCCTTTTTGTGTCACTTGACCCAATTTTACAAAGTTTACAACGTCACATAAGATTTTTCATTATGAGAGAAATCACTGAAGTATTGATATTTTAAGTTAGGTCAGTAAAATGAGAGATGCATTAAAGTTAATTTAATGGTGACAGGATACCGTGTCTGCTTGATGCTTAATTTAAATGTATTTCTGTTTTCTTAATTATATTCTGGTGATAGTAAAGAAAGAAAATAGTAAAAAGTATTCTGGCAGTCTTGCTATACCTGTTTTATCTGTTTACATCAGATTACAATTTTTTAATTTACCTAAGGGTTGTTTTTTTAATTATTATTCTGCTAGTTATTAGCAGAGACAAGACAGGATATCCGAAAGAAAGAAGATGCGATTAAAGAGAAGATCCGTTTTTTGGCAAATGAGACAGGAAATAATATAGAGTATGAAAAGAAAATTGCTGCTACTGATCGGCAAGCTGCCAAGCTCCGAATTGAGTACCAAAATCAGGATGCTAATCGAGTTCAGCTCCAGGATGAGGTAAACCTGCCAGTTTCAGACCAAATAAACAGAAACATGTCTAACTTTCACTTAAAATGAAAAAAATCTGACAAAGAGAGAAAAAAGTATTCCGTCTTCTCATGCATTTTTATGGTACATCCCTTATGTTGGAACAATGTTTGCCACTATCAGGACAGCAACGTATACTGGAATGTGAATCCTGACCTCGAGACTTTGGCTATGGTAGCACAACAGAAGAGGATCATATAGTTGAAAAAAAAGGGATTTTTTTTTTTACTTGACTGTCTTCATATGGCTGGCACATATGCAAGGAGCTCTCTTCGTTGTGTAGGCACCACTGCTAAAGGGAATAGGGCCACACTCCTGTCGCCACAAAACTAGATCCACCCATGATACCAATTATTGGATCTACAAGAGCCCTCATGCTCACATTGAGCCTCACAAAATTAACAAAGTTCTCTGCAGATTTAGGAGTTCACTGACACATGTGCTATGCCAAGAATAGAGCCTTTAGCTGTTTCCCCATTTGTCCTGTTTTCTTGGTAATTAAAAATGTTTTAAGCCACATATGCAATTGGCATAGTCAGTTTATTAACATTATTGGCTATGTTGACTTGCACCAGTTGCGAATCTGGAATATATTTATCTTCCATTTAGTGAAAATACATTTTTTAGTGTCTAGAATAAACTTGGTGTTGTAGAAACAGAGATGTGTTAGCAATATTAATAAACCTTTTGAAGTTTCTGATCAGGCAGTAAAAGTTGGTTTGTTTCTGTATTTGTATTGCTGAGTAGTAAGTATGACTTCTGAAAATTGCTTAGTTAGAATGTACTACAGTATGCTAGAGTACAAAACAGAATAAGCAACTCTTATTTAACTAATTATTAGCTGGATACTTTAAAAACCACAGTGGACAGGACTGCTTCTGATTTAGAATCTATGAGAACACGGGTAACCAACCTGAAAAAAGAAATTCAGGAAAAAAACATCAGGTAAGAATGACAAGCTCTTAATTTCTTTTAAGTGTGCAATATAATCAGACCTTTGATCAAATAATTCCTAACAAGGAGCCTTACATTATTTTGGTTTCACAGCTGGACCATTCTAGATACTCTGGATTATACAGCCTTCAGATACTCAATATAATACCTAACTCTGGAGAAAAAGTTCTGGTTTGGGCCCTGGCTATCATAATTTGTAAATTAAATAAAAAGTGATGCTAATGGACAGTATCCAATACAGTTAGCTACGTGAATGAATACAAATATATACTCCATGGTTACTTCCATTTTATTTAAATTAATATGAGACAGTACTTCGGTTAGATTTCTCAGTCAGTTGTATTAAAGAGTGTTGAGTAGTGTGTTATGTGTGCCTCTCATTTTAACTCTTTATACCATGTAACTTTGTTTAGGCTAAGCCTTCTTAAAGATCAGAATATGAATCTTTCAAATAAACTGAAGTTTGTGACTGAGAAGACACTGAGTTTAGAAGAAAAAGCTTTTAGGATGGAAGAAATTCTGAAAGAAGAAGAGAGAAATGTGAAGGTAAAGACTCCTAACACTACTTGAAAATGGGAATTAATATAGACTTTATACATGTGTCTGGGGCAATCATTTGTGTGGATTAAAATATAATAAGATGGCCTGCCTCAGGGTTTGTTTTTTTTTTAAGTAAACAGGAATCCATTTGGTTGTATTTGGATGGAAAATGTTTAAGAAAAGCCTCAGTGTCACAAGAGGTAATTAGGGTAGTTGGTTGTAGCCATGTTGCTCTAAGGACACAGCCAGATGAGGGTCTTTGGGTAGATGTGATAATATTTTATTAGACTAACTAACTAGTTGGAAAAATGGTTCTTTGCAAGCTTCCAGGCACAAACACCCTTTTTCAGGCATAGGGGTTTACAAGAGGTAATTGCATTTTGCAGAGCTTTATTATTTCAAAATGTTAGATTTGTGCCTAGAAGTGGAACCAAGAATTTTGCAATTGTTTGTGATATGAAATTAAGTTCTCTGCCCAGCTCTACTGGGAGCCCTTACTTCTAGGCAGTCTGTCCTGGTGGGCTGGTCCAAAGCTTAGGAGTCTGGTGTTCCAGGCTCTCAGCTTTTTAGCAGCATATCGTGCGGACTTCCAGGCAACCAGGAGCCAGGAAGGAGGGTTTCCAGGTGGGCAGGCGGCTGAGCAGAATTCTGCTAAACCTACCTGACGTCCTTTAGAATTTCAACAAAATTGATGCCCTTCAGCAAATTCTGCTAAAATTCTCAAATTTTTCAAACCACTCTACCTGTTACATTCTGGCTGTCAAAATACACCCGATACTACAAAAAACTCTAATCCCTTTTGTAAGATTGGGCGCTATTAAATAATTACTATGGTTCGTCTAAAAAATGAGTAACTACAGGCCTATACTTGGATAGTAGCTTGCATGCACTCAGTAAATTTGGATATTTATCTGAAATCGTACATACAAAAACACTTTATAAATGGAGGATCATCATTATTACAACATAGCAAAATGTCAGTATATTATGATCTTTTAATATTGATCTAGGATCTTTTATAATCTCCAGAACTGTGATCATGGTTGCAGACTGCTCAGTAAATGCAGCATTGTAACAGCTGTCAGCCAGACTTTCCCAAAGTTGAGAAGAAACTTCAACCTCTTTTCTAATTGGCAAATAATTCCTTTCAAATGAGTGAATATTGAGTATCTGACTGATGTTGGCTTAGAGAGTATTGGGTTCTCTAAAGCTTTTCTTGTCATGAGTGTAAGCTGACTGCACTACACAAAAGTGGAAGAGCAGGTGTTCCCAAACAAGTGACAATAAAACTAGCTCACACATTTTGTTTCTGCCACTTATCTTCCCTCTATCTGAATTAATTTTCAAGCAATAGCTGTGTACAGTACTGCCCTTGTGATTGGTTTGGGTGCTCTTTTACAAACCTAGTAACTTTCTAGCACATTAACTATGCACTTTTAAACCGTACTTTGAATGTAAGTATAGAAATTAGAAAAATTACGCCTTTGTTGCTTATGAAGGGTTTTAAAGCAAACCCTGTAACTTAAGAAAATTCAGTATTACAGAGAATGTGAATACAAGATGGGATGATAGAACATTTCTGCAAATTTAAAACCAAAATTGTTTTCCTCTATATTTGTTACTAGAATGGCTAAACTGTTGCCAGGTGTTCTTTACTTACATATGTGGCAGGTAACCTAAGATGACACTGAGTTTGGCAGCTTTACAGCCTGAGGGTCATATTTTAATGAGGATGAACTGTTCTTGAAGAATGTCTGTAATGTATTAGTCAGAAGTATGCCTTCCATCACCATTCGATAAGCCTGTCTATTTGCTGCATCTATTAATTTACTGTGAAAATACAGTTAAAGGAACAATGTAGATAAAAATCCCACTTGCCAAGTTCCTCAAAGACTTCAACCACACTATGACAAAATACTGTTGCAGGAGTGAATCTTATTTAATACCAATTTGTGTAATTCGAGGACATCTTTTGGAAGCAGTTTGGTTTAAGTCGTCACATGGAAATATAAAAGCCTTAGTTACTAAGGACCAGATTCTGATCCCATTTTATCTGACAGTAGTTTTGCCATCTTTGCTATTAATTCTAAAAGTTGCTCCAAACTGGAAACATTGATATAAAAAATAAAAACAAATATTAAAATAACTTTAAACCTCCCTCACTGCCTCTGTTAAGACTTAGCTTAAAACCCATTGAAGATATTAAACACAATAGAAAGAATTTGGAAAGACTTTGGATCAGGTCCTTCCTTGCTCCCCCTTCCCTTGAGCTCAGGGCTTTTTTTTTTTCCTGTAGGAATTATTCCAGATGTAAAAAAAAAAAAAAAAAAAAATCTTTCAACCCAGCTTCCTGCCCACAAGTCATTTCTCAGGTCATGGATAGGCATTACATTTGTAGCACTAAGCGCACCCTTATGGTACTGCAAAAAAGGAAGTATATAGCTGTTCAACTACTAAAAGCGTGGTGAAACCGCCACAGTCCTACCTCTTTCAAATTGGAGCTTCGTGGCATCGCTTTTTCCAGCACTATGGTTAACACCTGTAACTGTCACATACAGTGTTATAGGACGTGGCTTGGTCCTCCAGCATCCCCAAAGACTTTGCTCCTTGTCCCTTACCCGTGGCTCCAGCGATTCTGTCCGTGACTCGCACCAAACTTTACTGACCAAGGGAAGTGGAGCTAAGTCAATGACATGATCAACTTGCTGCTTGGCACTTTTTTGGTAAACAAGACTAGAATCCTTTCCAATCCATGTGGAATCTAGTTTCAAACTGTTCCCAGAGTACTGGAAGAAGGCCTATGCTGTTTAACATCTTCATCAATGATGTGGACATTGGTGTCAGAAGCGGACTGGCCAAGTTTGCCGATGACACCAAACTCTGGGGTAAAGCATCCACACCTGAGGACAGGAGGGCAATCCAGGCAGATCTTGACAGGCTCAGGAAATGGACGGATGAGAACCTGATGGTGTTCAAAACCAAAAAATGCAAGGTTCTCCACCTTGGGAGGAAAAACCTGCAGCATGCTTATAGGCTCGGCAGTGCTACGCTGGTTAGCACTACAGATGAAAGGGACTTAGGGGTCAGGATTGACCACAAGATGAACATGAACCTTCAATGTGACGCTGCAGCTAGTAAAGCGAGCAAAATGCTGGCTTGCATCCGTAGATGCTTCTCAAGCAAATCCCAGGACATCATTCTCCCATTGTACTCGGCCTTGGTGAGGCTGCAGCTGGAGTACTGCATCCAGTTTTGGGCTCCACAATTCAAAAAGGATGTGGAGAAGCTTGAGAGAGCACAGAGGAGAGCCACATGCATGATCAGAGGTCAGGAAAACAGACCATATGGTGAGAGGCTGAGAGCCATGGGACTCTTTAGCCTGGAAAAGCGCAGGCTCAGGGGTGATCTGGTGGCCACCTATAAGTTAACCAGGGGTGCTCACCAGGATCTGGGGGAATGTCTGTTCACCAGAGCGCCCCAAGGGATGACATGATCGAATGGTAACAAACTCCGCCACGACTGATTCAGGCTGGACATAAGGAAGAAGTTCTTCATTGTCCAAGCCCCCAAGGTTTGGAATAGACTGCCACCAGAGGTGGTTCAAGCACCTACTTTGAACACCTTCAAGACACACTTGGATGCTTATCTTGCTGGGATCCTATGGTCCCTGCTGACTTTCTGCCCCTGGGGCAGGGGGCTGGACTCGATGATCCTCTGGGGTCCCTTCCAGCCTGAACGTCTATGAAATCTACTGCCCAATTTGAGTCTACTCTGGAGATAGTTTTGCTGATTCTCCAAACTGAATCAAGCTGGCAGCTTCACTTGAATCCAGTTCTGTGCCTCCAAATGGTGATGGCAACAGCAGCATGCTTCTCCATGCCAATGCCCTGTTTCTCAAGAGTGGGAGGCAGTTTGGTGGCTTTCTCCTAGCACATCCTGAAATTCTAGTGCCACTGCTTCTTGTCTTGGGTCCTCAGGATGATTCATTCTCACCAGTCAGTGCTTTGGGCTACATGCAATGGAGTGCCAGAACATGGTCTGTAAATGGTCCCTGAGCACCCCCAACTCCATGGTGTCCAGGATGGCATCAGCCGGGTAGCTGCTGGCTGGCATGCTAAAAGGGAACAAGGCTGGCACATGCATGACCAGGGCTTCAGTCATGTGCATATGGACATGTATGGTACTGTGCACTAGCCTGCACAGGAACTAAACAAGCTTGCTGAAGAAGTGTTGGCAGGTCTTGAGTCTCTGCTGACAGGAGTTATGGCACATGTGTGACCTGCTGGCATGGCTGGATCTGGAGCTACAGGGCACACAATGGCAGGGATCCATTTTGGGTGGGGAATGCAACTGATAACTCTATGGGAATGGAAATGGCCCAAGCAGACCATGGCTGTACACTCCCATTGCTAAATGGGGAGAGGGGAGTCCCTGCGTGGGCATGGTACCTGGATGGACAGCTGATTAGTGCTGTTCCCCTCCACTTGGTTGTCTTCAGTAATCTCCAGAGATGGGAGCCCCTGGAAAGCATGCTGGGATCTCTGGTGGCCCCCTGGCTGCAGAGCACCAGCAGTATATGCCACCTCCATGCTTTGCTGTGCTCTTCTGGATGATTGGGCACTTAACAACTGTATGCACATTTCATATTACATTGTCATGCTGCTGCAAATTTCCCATGAATTTTTCAAATAAACATCTGTTCCTACCTGAGTGTCACTAACTGTTGTGGGCAAGATGAATTTGAATTTACATTCCAACAGATAAAAATCCTTTTGTTTTTTTCTTCCAATATTTTATTAAAGTTAAAATTAAGTACATCTTTTGCAAAGGACTTGTAGTATACAGCAGAGTGGTTAAGATGCTTCATTATGAATCCAGGGAGCCTTGTTCCGGGCTCATGCTAAAGGCTGCTCCGCCCCAGTCAAGCCAGCTGTAAATGGACACCCAGTCCTTTGGCCTAGGGACGCCAAGTTGCTAATCACGTTGAGCTACATCACTTTCTGGTGTGCTCCATAATGTGCCTAAACCACACTTGCCCAACATACCACAAAGACCTGGGATGAACCTTGGATCCACTACAATCAATGACTGAGACTCTTAAATGTAATCTAGGCAGACAAGGTTCTTTGGGTAAATGTGACATCTTTTTTTTAGACCAACTAAATAGTTGGAAAAAATGGTTTTTTTTACAAGCTTTTGGGGACAAACACCCTCATCCAGACATAACAAGAATCTGCTGGTGCTTATGTACTCTTCTGGGTGGAAAAGAAGCTTAAACCAACATGTAAAATGCAGGTCTGTGAAAATGAAAATACATGGCAGAGAAGATCAGAGGGGCTAGGTTAACAGGCGCGAGACAGGTAGGTGAAGTGGGGGGAAGAGAGGACTGTTGAGCTGTGATAAAATGTAGCTGGTAAAATGTAGAGAGGTTACCTGGGGTTACTGGATGGCAGGCAAATTATAATGTGCCATAATCCAACGTCTGTATGTCCATATCCAATGTCCATGATTTTTTGTATCCAGTAGATTAATGAAATGAAGTTCATAGGCTCATCTACAAAAGGTGTTTTGTAAATTCCCTTTGAGGATTAGAACTGAGAGATTGGAGAGAGTGGCTACCTTGTGAGAAGCGTCCCCCCACAGGTAATTGGGTATTTTTGTCTTTGATAGATTTTTGGTGTGCGTTCATTCTGGTACGCAGTTGTGGTTTGATTTCTCCTACATAGTTTCCATCAGGGCATTTAGTGCATTGGATGAGATGCATTACATTTCTGGAGGTGCAGGTGTAAGATGTAGGAATGGTGATGGTTTTATTGTAGAGGGTAGTTATTGTGAGGGTGGTTGAGATTATTGGCTGATTTTACATTTCTTGTCCCAGCATGGTCTGGATCCATTCAGTGTGCTTGGGCCATAGAAGAAAAACAATAATTTGTTTTTTAGATATATAGGGAGTAAAAGGAAGGCCCAGGGAGGAATAGGACCCCTGCTAAATGGGCAGAAGCAATTGGTGACGGACAGGGGGGACAAGGCTGAACTCCTCAATGAGTTCTTTGCCTCAGTGTTCCTAAGCGAGGGGCACGACAAGTCTCACTGGGATTGTAGAGAGGCAGCAGCA